TGTGGGTAAGTTATGCACCTGAAAACAGAACTTCTAGAGAATGTACATGTAAGTTATTAGTTATTTTAAAATTTCATCACTGACCAGATTTGCATATAGACATTGCATCTTGCGTTTATATTCGGATGCTGCATGTCAGTGCTCTATGTTTTCCATATCACTTGATAGATTAAAACTTCTGAGAGATTTTCGGTTCATTTTTACTTTTACTAAATATTGGATCTCAACATTGAATGAATTAACATATTAACAAGGATGTTAACGTTAATTTGGAATAATAATTGTCTTTCCTAACCATATCTCTAGAAGTTTAGTATCCATCTTAATTAAATGAAGAAGAATGCAAGTTTATAATACATGTAATGCCTATAAAAAGAAACGAAAGAGTGACATACGAATGAATTAAAAAGTGCAGGTAAAAATAAACTCTGGGGTGTTAAGTGGATGTAGAATCTACTCAGTTTCAAATTTAGTGCTCGACAAGATGTTTTGCACCCTCACCCCCTAACCTCACGGAGTCTCCTTCACGAAGAAGCAAAAATGTATCCTCTTTTATAGATCTAGCGTATACGTAGCTTTTAGACTAAAGTGCGATTGCTCACTCTGTCTCCGTATTATTTGACAATTAAGATACATGCACTTTCATATTTACCCTGAAGAAAATGGATCGACTTTGAGCTAGGTCCTCATTTAGTCATTAAGCATTAGATCTATTTTCTTCTACAAAATGCTAACCCCCTTTCTCAGTTCCTCGTATTTTAAGTTCTAGAAGAAAGTGATAATTATAGAAAGCTCGAGCCATCAGAAAATATTAACCTTGTTATTCATTACATCATGAAATATGTTATTTATTATTTATTGATTTATCCTTTAAGCTTAAACCCATTAGACGATACATTCCTAAATTAGCATCGAGGATTTCTACATAAAATGTTCATAAATTAAGCTGTATATTTGTGTCAAGTTTGGCAACCTCTATAGAAAATGAATTAAATTGCATAAAATATTTACACACCTGTGTCGGCTATCCTCTCACTAAAATTTACTGTTACTTGAATATCTATATATCACACCAATGTTAAAGAAGGGTCCAGATTAATTTCAACTATAGCACGTACATGCATTTATATGAATATATGATCATATTTACTGAATTATAGTACTGAGAGCAGAGAATTAAAAGTGGAAGAAAAAGATTAATGCAAAATCCACAAAAACTAATTTTCTTAACACGACATATAAACGGCAATTCAGACGGTCAGTTTGACCATAATTTCTGCATAGGGATTTCGGATTAATGGTGTATTGAAATTTGTGACCCACGAACGTAAAATGTCACTGATAGTCGATGCTTTTAGTTTAATGTCGGATTAAAAGGTTAGAACGAGTAAGTAAATCTTAGCAGAGAACTCATAGTTAATAAGTATTTAAATTAGTAACACATTATATATACCCGATTATTTCAATATCTAAATGTACATTGTTTTCTTCTCTAAATAAGTTAATCGGTTTGCAAACCTAAATGATACTTAAAGGTCCAATACAGGCTAATTGATCAATTGCTTTTTGTTGTGTAAGGATAAATATGTTGCGTTGAAGAACGTAAATATAGTTATACAATAAAATGATTTAATCGATCTCTTATGAAAATAATGGTTTTGGTATCCCCAATCATGAGAAAGAAATTCTCCCTCACAATGTCCATTAGGAGGAAACCCCTGGTGGGCCTCTTTTCTGCCTGGTGATACTTGATCCTTGACCTTTCACAATCTGGCCACAAGAGTGAACAGTTTCTATGGACTATCCAGTTTTTGAATCTGGATGAAAATCCTTTTTATTTAGCACATTTTATTCATTTTTTGTTATAAGATTCACGACCGGGCACTAAAGAAAATCGTGAGCATCTTCCTGACGTTAAGAGCCCGGCACCGAAAGAAGCCGAAAAGGACCAGGAAAAGCAAGAGACCAATTTACCTCCCATAGCCGACAAGAAACAACCCAAACCTAAAACAACCGAAGCAGAAAAAGTTCAGAAACCGGAGACTGTAGAAGAAGGAAAAACTTTAACAGGACAAGTTGTTCAGAAGAACACCAAAGTAGATAAAGTCTTAGAATCTGCCTTTAAAAGAACTGTTGACCAGAACCTCACAAAGCATCGTAAAAGGGACAAACAGACAGACAAACCTCAGGAACTTCCTCATCTGCCAGTCATCAAAGAGACCGCTGACTCTGAGGAGGTCATATTTAAAAGATTCCAGTCGTAAGTTTATTGCCAATTCCTTTTTTGATATTAAAAAAGAAAAATAGTTTTCGCATCTACATGTAATTTTATTTTAAAATTTTACTTGTAATCTTTTTTAAAAAAAATATCTTTATCGTGTTTTTTTTTGTCTGCTTTAATTTTCTGATGCATTAATATTGTCCATTTAAAGATTTGTTTATCTATCAATTGTCCCTTACCTTTTTAAAGATTCTTGATGTATTAAACATTTATTTTGCAGTCTACGTAAGCGAGAACTCGCATTTAAGAAATTATTCCACGCTAAAGAGGTCCACGTTTTTGATCACAATATGCTACCAAGGATAAACCCGTAAGTCTACAATATTATAACAACGCTCTTTATATATTCTTCATTACATAAAATATCGACATAATCGAACATAAATATATCAAGTTATTACCTTTAGGGGCACAAAATATTCTTGATTATTATATTCATGTAAAAGTATTGTAAATGTCATGTTTTATCACATATACGTTGGAGGCCAACAGTATGTACATATTCTTTAACTCTTTCACATCCCTAGATTTGCTGTAAAATTCTACTTTAGTATTTTATTTTGATGACAATTTTATAAAACTATAATTCTGTATGACCTCTTGATTAAGACGATAAACTTGATGTTTTTCAGAAGCAAATCCAATCTCATCTCGAGGTTAGATCCGTACACAGTGGAACAGGGAGAGAAAGAAATGAAAAGAATCACCAGATCTATCGTCAGTATTTTCTATCATATTAGGCGATCTGCTGAATACACGTCATCATATTAACCGTAAAATTAACAGTGCTACCCAAGGTTTTTATAGATGTGTATAAATGATGTCAATTATTGATGATATACTATATGATTTTAGCCATCAAATCCTGATTCAGACCATGGTTACAGATACAGAAAGACAGCAGTAGACATGATGAATCCCTGGGATTTCCTGGAACTGGACAGTGTAGAATCCTCCCGTAGAACAATCCCGCGTTATAGAGGATCCCAAAAGTAAGAAGTTCTCTAAATAAAGCACCTCTTCGAAAACCCAGAAGGCTCATTTCAACTTTAATTTTTTTTCTTATTTTTTTCTCTAAAACTCATGATCTGCATTCATTTGATTTTTAAATGTTTAAAATGCAGCGTTGAAACAAAATATTGACGGGCCTTTCTTTCAGGCGCCGCCGGGATTACCCAAACAGACCTGCACCCAAGGGCAGCACGTATTTTCCCCAGTTCCCTAACGTTAACTATCCGTACGTACAAGCAGAGAGTCCCACGCGTATGTTTGAACTTGACGACGTGCCAAAAGTTAGGTAAGGAGTGGATTGTTTCAGAATTTATTTTTGAAGAGTTTAATTAAACAATAAAATGCTTTCTTTGTTTGTTATTATTGGAATTAACGGAAGCAGCTGTTGAAGAAAAAATACATAACCCGCGGGGTAAGCGGGTTATTAATTTTTTTTCTGCAATAGCTGCTTCCGTTAATTCCAGTAATAACAAATAAAGAAAGACATTTTATTGTTTATATTTATATCTGTTTAAATAATCATTTAAAGTAGGATTAAAAAGATTAATTATTGTATTAATGATGCGAACGACTTCATACGTTTCATTGATGGAACAGCCACTGATCAAGAAATCTGTACAGGCGACATGTCTAATGTAGTTCATGCAGTGATAAACGCAATAGGTTTTCTTAAGAAATAAAGGAGAAAATGTTCAGTGGATGTAAATATTCTACTGTGAAAACTGCAAACTTTGAGGTGTTATGTCATAACGCGGGTAAGACGGAAGATATTGAAAACAGCGCTTACACATGGATCGACCCACCAACTTTCAAAAAATGGGATAAAGTGCCTAGGAGGAGTAAGCAACCCCTGTCGACACCCGCTGTTTTTGTATTGATCAAGTAGATGGAATATTTCTTAGTGAAGTTTCTTTTTATAAAACAAAAACGGGCCTTACAAATGGTATGAAATACTTAGCCAGAATACAGCTATTTACCAGTATATCTATTTATACAAGGTCATTATGACAAGGATAAAATTTACGATATGACGTCATTAAACGAGATTGTTGAATTTCCTATATCATCAACTTATCTGTCAGTAGCCCGTCCTGGTTTAAAAATAAGTCGCACTAAGATCACGATCTAGAGAATCGAATTTAAAACTGGGAAATGTAAACTTCATATGCATGAGAAAGCGGAATATTGCTACAAAAAAAAAGGAATTTGATAATAGGAACGACATTAGTTGTCATTGTCGAAGTAATTCAGATGAGGTGTTCTTCAACTACATGCACTTTTTTTTTTCTAAATAGCTTTGTTCAAACACATTCACTTCCTGAAAACTACTGTCTTGTTGTCTTTGTAGAAAAGAGCTGAAAAAGAAATGGAGTAAACGCTCACCTGAACGGGTCAAGAAGGATTATACCAAAACTAAAAACGACTTTTATCGCATGGAGCTTGACAAACTGAACGAAATGCGCCCAACGTACAACCGACCCAGTATGGTCAACACGTATACTGCCTATCTACAAAACACACCAGGATCGAAGCAGGCCCTGGACGAATGCATCAGCGGAATCGAATCAAAACTTCTTCGAGATGAGGCAAATGTCAGTCTCTTGCCCAAACATCCCGGCCGACCATCACTGAAAAAGTCCCATTCCACAATGACCAGCGGGAGGAGTACCCGGCAGAGGGTCATCAAGGTCGTAGACACGCCCATGAAAGTCGTAGAAACGCCCACAGTTGATGTACCAAGGTCTGCTCTGCATTCTAGGCAAACGATTGAATCTGCTGGTTAATTGAACTGTATGTGGAAGCATAAACAATCTTTGTATCATCATGGCCTGCTAAGAATGTGTCACTTTTTACAGAAAGTGACACCAGAAAACACTAATTAATCATTTCTGAGTATTTGACGACTGCCTTTAAAACTTTTTAGACAGAACATTGTATATATTCATTTCATACGAGATTAAAGCCTATACATGTATATCGTATAATTATGCTTGTTTGCCCTTTTGTACAACATGCAATGTAAATAGCGAAAAGTCATTTTAAAAAGAGAATTTTCTTTTAATTACGAATCATGTTTTTTTATTTTAAATAATAAAAGTTAGAAAAATAACTCCTTCTGATGGACACATTTTGATACAAGCATACC